GGGTTATAGCAATGACGTAATGAAAATATAGGGGATATAGTAATGATGTAATGAAAATGCTGGGTTATAGTAATGATGTAGTGAAAATGTTGGGTTATAGCAATGATGTAGTAAAATGTATGGACATAGCAATGATGTAGTGAAAATGTTGGGTTATAGTAATGATGTAGTGAAAATATAGGGGATATAGTAATGATGTAGTGAAAATGTTGGGTTATAGTAATGATGTAGTGAATATGTAGGATTATAGTAATGATGTAGTAAAAATGTCGGGTTATAGTAATGATGTAGTGAAATGTAGGGACACAGCAATGATGTAGTGAAAATATAGGGGTATAGTAATGATGTAGTGAAAATGTAGGGTTATAGTAATGATGTAGTGAAAATGTTGGGAACAGAGTAATGATGCCATTTTATCACTAAAAAGACAGTTTAAGTGAAATTTCAGCAATATATTGAAATTGATATATACAACCCATGCCAAAATTTAATTAGGTCAAGAGCACTAACTGGTTAATAAAATATCCAAGTTTGAAAAAAAGACTGAATAAAAAAAAAACTGTTTGAGGTATTGTAACCACAAGTTAAAAGTTATATCAAAGAGAACAAAAACATATTGCCCCTTTCCCTTCATCTAATGATGATTGGGCAAGGTGAAAATGATGTATGGTACAAATCTTTATAAGTATAGGATAATATAGAAGGTGGAATAGGTGCCTTTGAAGAAAAGCACTTCATGTGAGTACTTCATATAAAAGATTGCAGGGATGCAAACAGACTGAAGACAATCAATGTAAACAATTTCAAACTACAGATATGAATCTGTGATAATGTTTTAGGATGGACTGATATACTGTAGAATACTTTATTTTCGCTGAAGGGATGATTCCCTGAAAATAAAATCCAGCGAATATACTTTTTTTCCTATATCTCACATTAAACTCATCAAAAATCAGTGAAAATTAATTCCAGCGAAAATAAAGTATTCCACAGTAGTATTAGTTCAATGTTTGAGCTTGCACTATCTTTTGAGATGCGAGTGAAACGTAAAAGAGAACGTAGGTAAGTGGGTTTCTGTGATAATGAAGAATACTCATTTTAATACTATTCTGTATTAAATTCAGAATTCTTCTACTAATGCTTGATCATTTATTCATGGGATAATTACATTCAGCATTGAAGTAAACATTGAAAAAGGCAAATAAGCTCAGTGACAGTCAAGCTGACATCTACCTGACAGCATTCACAGAGTCAATAGATGTGGCAGACACATGTTTAAAAGCTGCAATAAAATAATGCAGTTTGTTTTTCTCAGACATCAACCGTAACATACTGTAAACGCATTAATTATTCACTGGGTTTTAATTTCGCTGTTTTCCGTTGATAAGTAAAATTCGCTAAATTAAATCCATGTGATCTTGTAAAATAACAATAATAACTTGTTGCTTCTCTGGCAAATTAGTCAACATCAACATAGTGAAAATGAATGGTTTTACAATAGTCATAAAAAAAAGAAAGAAAAAAAAATTCCTACCTATTGTAAGCCATATCTGTACTTGTAATAACCATGCTTGTTGTGGACCTTGCCTTGGTGTATAGCTGTGAATCGAGGAAGCGACCTCAGAGAGCGCTTGTTCCACTCGAGATGCTGCTATAGAGTTATGTACTGAGCCTGTCGAATAAATTACCATAAATTGAAAGGTGACTGATGTTATCTTTACAGTAGATCAGTACATCTCTCATCTTCATCAATCATTTTTTTTTATCAGGTCCAGAAGAAAGTTTCTAGTAAGAATTGATGCATACCGACAATTTTGTTTTTTAAATTCTAAATTTGTGCTCATATTTTGATTTTAACAAGAAAAATGAATAATTTTTAGTGAAATTCTGCCAAAATTATTAAAAATACACAGATGTGCTGATTTATAACAGACATGCATGATAAATAGAAATTTTAATATTTTATTCTGGACTTTAATTACAGTTATTATTGTTATTTCTGTGATTTTGAAAATGAATTCACTCGTGTGAGTATATTTTGTTGGTGAGTTGATGTGGTGTGGTCAGCTATTGATTTAATAGAGTTTATGCACTTGCCGAGACCTTGAAAATAACTGCAGAGATACAATAGTTGTTTCAGCCACAGTCCCTTTATAGGTTTAGCCTATTAACCATACATATATCACAAATCATGGGTCATTTTTACCAGAACCAAGAAAAAAAATACCCAGTATTCCACTTTCATTGGTCTGTTTATTAACCCTTTGGGTGCCTACTTTTATTAATTTTCAAACATTTTGGATCAAGTAAATAATAATTTCCATTGGCTACAGATTTTAATTAACAATCAAGAACCAAATATGAGAGATATTGTGAAGGTTTTATTTTCTGGTAGTTTCCAAATTGGGAGTAAGAGGTCGGAGGTTAAAAGATGTCAAGATGGCTGGTTGACACTTTTTTTGTTCACATCATGTGACAAATGAACAGAGACTGCATTCACAGACAATTGTGCCTAAGCAATGTTTGTAGAGGTCTTGGAGAACTCAGAAAGCACATAGATTCTAGGCTAGTATTGAGTGAAAAGCGTTAGAGTAAACAACACAAAACAGTGCTCCTAGAAGCAAAGTAGCAAAATGTAGCCAAAAAGTTACAAGGTTGACATGGTAATGGGTAAACTTCGGAACATCCAATTCCTGTACTATTAAGTAACAAAATTGTGGGTGGAGAAAAGACATTTTAGTAAATAGAATGGAATAACTGCTGTGCTTTAGGTAATTTATCAGCATAGTCAAACTATTAAAACCTTGCCCATAGAATAGATCAATTTTTAAATGAGTGTAATCAGTTAAACATCAAAACAACAATTCCTGGTAAAAACATGAAATTTCAGCTAATCTGTATTTTAATGGCTAAAAAGAAGTCATAGATATGGTCATGAAATGCACATTAAAAATTGCATGAAATAACTGAAAAGCAAGGTACACATTAACATAACTGTAGGAAATAAATGTGCAATATCACGGTTTTTGGTTAACAATGTAAAAATCAACAGAACAAAAACACAGGAAATGACTATAGCCATAAAAAAGCTGTTATCTCATTGCAGGTGATCAGAAAACTTAACAGTACCATTCTAAAAAGCATGAGAATATTACATTTGCATAGCATACACAAAATAAAAAAAAATTACAAAGAGAGAAAAATGAAAAACTCTTTTAGAAAACACCAATGTGTGGTGCTGCCAACAAATTGAATAAAATTGAAAGCTTAGTTATAAACAAGTCAAAAAAAAATGTCAAAAGAGTTTTAACTGACAGGTATGAACAAGATGCTGCAATGCATGCTGGTCCCTAGTATATTATGATACGAAATTATACTGAGCACCACTTTCTAGCGATCCATAAAACGATCTAAACTCAACATGCAAAATCATGTCATGATTGGGTTTCCCAGAAACACACTACCGATATATTTATTTGACCATATATGTATCTATCTGCAATATAATTTTTCTGTATAAAATTGGATAGCACCCCTTACACAAAAGTTTGTGTGCACTAAACTTTGTTTGTTACTAAATCGCACCTGACTATTTAGAATTATTGCATCTCCAATAGAAGTGCTGACACATTTAAATAAATAATTGCATATTGACAACAGAAACACCCTAGTAATTTATTAGCACTACTAATAAATAGTAAAAACGGAATATTATATCAACAGGTTTTCTGATTTTTGACTTGTCAGCTGTCATTGTATGAAAATTCATGTACGACTCCTTGAGAGTATGTGTTTTTCATTTGAGGTCAGTTGCTGTCAAGACATTTTATCAGTGCAGTTCGACGCAGTTTTTATTCAATTAGCCAAAATAAAGTAGATATAACACACACTGACTCAAAAGGAGAAAGAGACAATGTAGCCGATGATATTATAACTTTGATAAGCTTCTAATTATTGTTTCAGTGAATAACTAAACAAAACAAAATGTTGAATGCTGCCCAAATTGATGACTTGTCAAGTTGAAATGATTTCCGCTGTAAGTTGTGTAAACTTCCTCATTGTTCGTCATTGTCAACTACTAATGTGACCTTTCTTCAGAGTCAAACCCAGGTCCTAGTATTCAAAGCTTATATGTTCAGTGCCTAAACTGTGGCACTGCAATCCCTAGGATTGCACCGGTGCATGACGGGAAATATAATTTGAATTGCTCATCCATCTACATGTATATACAGACATAACCAGAGAATTTAATCTAATCTGCTAACATATTACATACACAACTGTCTGCCTTGAAAAAAAATTGTTGACGACAATGCTACCTATGATGCACATAAATTTACTGCCATACCTCAGGCCCTTTATTATCATTAGATGGTTAAAAACTAAAAATAAAACCATTAATGTTGAAGAGAAGAGTATCCTCTGCTCAAAGATGGTCAGGTTTAGAAAGCATGATTGTTTTAATTATACAATTGACCTTGACGGGATTTTAATTGACTTGGACCCTGCAAATATATAGGGCAGGGAAGTTGCAGTTGCACAGGCCATGGGCTGAACCATCAATATTAATGAGCTTATTGAAAGTGCATGCAATGAAACTAAAAAGTCATAAATCCGTAGGTGATAACGCTAAATTTCACAAGCATAATGTGTGTAACTCGATCTCAATAAGACAAGACGGATTAAAAGATTCTACTTCACAAGAGTGATGCAAGGCATTCACTGGTCTTATTTTTTTTATCTGTTACCTACCACTCACAATGTTGGGTGCTGCTACCAGATTGGTGAGGATTTATTGACTACAACAGATGAGACATATGCACTATGGTTCATATTTAGAAACATTCACATCCAGCGTTATAGGAAGAGAACTTCATAGTTTGCTATATTGATATAAATATCATACATTGTTCAAACTACATGTAAATTCTTTGTTTGAATGCAAATATTACAATTCACCGCGCTTTAAAAATACGAGGCATGTATGACCTAGAAAATATGCCATATGCGAGTACCAATTTGCGAGTCGCAAGTAGCAAAATATGCTATATGTGAGTGGTAAAAACGGCATATGCGAGTGGTAAAATGTATCATTTGCGAGTGGCAGAAAAGGCCTATGCGAGGAGTCAAATGTGTTGTTTGTGAGCGGTAAAACAAAGGCCGGGAAAACGGGTGTATGCAAGGGATGAAATGAGTCATTTACAAAAATAATGGTAGCAAATAGGTGTCGATAATAAAGATTGCGATTGGTAAGACTGGTTATTAATATATTCCCCGATGCTCTTAGATTTTTTTTTAATTTCAAGATGAGAAACAGATAGTTGAAGATGCAGCGATTTCAAAGAGGCTGTTTTACTGCGACAACTCTAGCTCTGTTGTAGTTTCGCGCACAGTCCCTCAACCCTCAACTGAGGGACTGTGTTTCACAAAGTAAAAAAAATATATGGTTTTACAACCCGCAAATTACGGGAAAAAAAAGGTCCCCATGAATCTTGATGAATTAATGCTGCTTGTGTTGAATGACTGACGTTGGGACCGTTTGGAGAAACCAACGGGGATCGATATTCCAAACAAATCATTGGGACACGATCGGTAGACATTTCAAACAAATGAAATTATTAACGAAAGACGAGATTTTTCTAGATATTTACGAACGTACTGTCATACCAAATATATGCAAAATAGACAAATACACAAAGAAGTGTAATATTAGGTTTTATTTCAGCCTGAGAAATATTTTCTTTCACTTGGTCTATGCGTGGAACTTCTATTCAGTTTAACTTCATGGTCCTTCTGTCTTCTCCTTGAGGGAAAATAATAATTATACAAATTGTAAACACATTGCAAAGACTCAACACAATCAGGAAAGGAAACCCAGACAACCATATCGTACTTCTGTTGAAATACACTTTTGACGGTTATCTATCAAAACCAGAAAAATTTTAGTAGTTCGAATTTTAAATGCAAGCGAGCGGGTGGTGATATTTCCGGGTTACAGGGACGAAAATAAAGCGGAAATTGTCCGGTCAAATTCAACAAGCGATCACAAAAGCGAGCGATTGAAAAGCGGACTACTTGTACTTGTTTATTGTGGATTTGACTCCGCTGAATACTGATAAATATCTGCTCTTTAAATAAGTCATTGAAAATGACACAGTCCTCATTAAATTTTTGAAAGTTCTCTTTGTGCTTATCATATTAAAGCGGAGGGGTTGTCGCGAGCGTGTCCTTGAAACTTGAGTTCCAAGTGGAGTATACAACAGATTGTTTATTTGCATCAAAACACGTGTTCCGTGTAGTAGTAATATGGCCAAAAATAAAAACAGCCATTATATTCGGCCATCTTTGATGCGATTATGAAATGTATGTATGATGTATGTGCCAAATACGAATGAAAATGGTACATAAATTGTGGAAATATAGTAGTTAGGCCAAAAAGTCAGATGGCTGTCAATCGGCCATCCTTGACCAGATTTTGAAACAAATTGTCATGGACATGCATCCTAACATGTATAAAGTACATGTATGTGCCAAATTTGAATGAAAACTGACAGAGCACGTCCAAGATACTGCATAAAAAAACAAACAAGATGCCTGCCAGTCAACCATCTTTGATCCAATTGCGAAATAAATCGTCATGGACATGTATCCTAGCATGTTTAATCTATGTACCAAGTTTGAATGACAACTGACAAAGCATGTCCAAAATACAACATTTTCAAAAAACAAGATGGCTGCCAGTCGGCCATTTTGAATCGAATTACTAAACCACTGCATGTGCATATGTCCCACATAAGGTACTAGGCACATGCAAAGAATGAACGGAATCGGTCCAAGGGATTCTGAGATATGACTCCGGACGGACGCACGGACGAAGACCGAATTATAAGTCCCCGTTTTTGAACGGGGACTAAAAAACGTCTCGCGTGGTTCTGTCCTCCCATGAACGCAACTACATCAACGTTTAATCATTCTAAGGTCTATGGTTTAATCCGGGGGGGGGGGGGGGCTACTTCCATAGAAGTGCAATACGGGTATGTGCCGCCCGACTGGGATGTCATTTCACGTTATTTTGTTTAGAAGTGGATAGCCATTTATCAAAGGTTTGGCTTAGAAATGTGTAGCATTTATTTACTTTTTCACAGATCCTTATATTCAAAGCCAAATACTGAGAAAGGCTGAATAAAATGCATTGCCCTGATAAGCTCACTGGTTGCGAAAGTTGTGAGCTGGGTGTTTTTTTTCTCGCTGAAAACACTGGTGTTTAGAAGTGGGTATATAAATA